AATGGTAGATACATGTCATTATACCCTTGCCCAAATGCATGGAATGGACAAGAGTGAACCCTGATACAAAGCGTGGACTTTCAATGACAATGTTGTATCAAGGTAAGTTCATCAACTGCAACAAACGTACCACTCTGGTGGGTGATGTTGATAATGGGGAGACTATGCAAGTGTGCGTGCAGGGGGTTTTCAAAGTGTGGTTCCCAGACCAGCAGCATCAGCACTAACTGGAACTTATTACAAATGCAGGTTCTCAGGTCCACTGTAGATGTACTAAATCAGAAATTGTGGGGTGAGTCCTACTAATCTGTATTTTAATAAGCCTTCTAGATTTTTTTTTCTTTAAATAGACTTTATTTTTTAGAGCAGTTTTAGGTTCACAGCAAAATTGAGTAGAAGGTACACAGATTTTTGCACATACTCCCTGCACGCACACTTGCATAGCCTCCCCATTATCAACATCACCCACCAGAGTGGTACGTTTGTTGCAGTTGATGAACTTACCTTGATACAACATTGTCATTGAAAGTCCACGCTTTCTATCAGGGTTCACTCTTGTCCATTCTATGCATTCGGGCAAGGGTATAATGACATGTATCTACCATTATAGTATCATACTGAGTAGTTTCGCTGCCCTAAAAATCCTCTGTGTTCTGCCTGCTCACTCTACCACCACCACCCTCATAACCACTGATCTTTTAACTCTCTCCATAGTTTTGCCTTTTCCAGAATGTCATATGATTGGAACTATACTGTATGTAGCCTTTTCAGATTGCCTTCTTTCATTTAAATTGCATTTAAAGTTAATGTCTTTTCATGGATTGATAGCTCATTTCTTTTTAGTGATGAATAATATTCCATTGTCTGGATATACCACAGTTTACCCATTCCTCTTGGTTGCTTCCAAGTTTTGGCAATTATGAATAAAGCTGCTGTAAACATCTATGAGCAGGTTTTGCGTAGATGTAAGTTTTCACCTCCTTTGGGTAAATACCAAGGAGTGTGATTGCTGGATTGTATGGTAAGAGTATGTTTAGTTATGAAAGAAACTGCCAAACTTTGTCTTCCAACGTGGCTCTACCATTTTGCATTCCCAGCAGCAATGAATGAGAGTTCCTATTGCTTCATATCCTCACCAGCATTGGCTGTTGTCAGTGTTCATGATTTCGGCCATTCTAACAGGTGTATACTGGTTATCTCCTTGTTTTGATTTTCAGTTCTCTGATGACATGATGTTGAACATCTTTTCCGATGTTTATCTGCTATCTGTATATCTCTTTTGGTGAGGTGTCTGTTCAGTCTTTATGTGTTGCTTGATTCAAGTTTGTAATAATTGTGTGATTTCAGGATACCATCATTTTGTCAGTTATAATTAAGTTTCTAAAGTGTCTACTTTATGCTTTATTAGTTTTAGAAAGTCCAAAGACTTTCTTAAGAGAAAATACATCCAATCAAGTAATATCTATCCTTAATTACAAATGAGATTCTCCCTGCTAGATTTATAAACTACTTGTGTAGTAGTAATTGTAATAATAACAAAAATAGCAGCTACCATTTGATCTGTGCTTAGCTCAGGCCAGGAACTGTCTAAATGAATTACTATATTTAATCCTCTCACAAGAATGGAAGCTACATGAAGGCAAAGACTTTGTCTTTTATTCACTGCAGTATTCCCATTAGCTCTAGCTGCACCTGCCACATAAGAGCTGCTTAATGAATATTTGTCCAATGAATCGTTAATGAAGTATATATAATTTTTATGCCATTTTAGCAATGAAGAATAAATTTTAGAGTAATTAAAGCTCTTGCCCTAGGACAGACTTCCAGTAATGGAACTGGAACACAAGCTCATGTGGAATGATTGTTGTCATTTTAATAGTGGGGACATGCTAACCTGATCACAGCCACAGACATACATACATATTTAATATAATTATTATTGCTTTAGGTCAGGTTGGCGAACTTTTTCTTAAAGGACCAGATAGGAAATATTTTAGACTTTGCAGGCCAAATGCTTTCTATT